ACAGCAAAGGAAACCATCAACAAAATGAAAAGGCAGTTTACGGAATGGAAGAAAATATTTGCAAACCACATATCCAATAAGACGTTAATATACAAAATATACAAGGAATAGTTCCCATACAACCCAATAGCAAAAAACTAAATAACCCAATTAAAAAATGGGCAAAGGACCTAAATAGTCATTTTTCCAAAGACATAGAAATGACCAACAGGTACATGAAAAGTTGCTCAACAACACTAATCATCCAGGAAATGCAGATCAAAAGCACAATGAGATATCATCTCACACCTGTTAGGATGTCTATTACCAAAAAGACAAGAGATAGCAAATCCTGGTGAGGATGTGAAGAAAAGGGAATACTTGCAGGCTGCTGGTGGAAATGTAAACTGGCGCAGCCACTATGGAAAATAGTGTGGAGGTTCCTCAAGAGATTAAAAATACAACTACCATATGATCCAGCAATTCCATTTCTGGGTATGTATCTGAAGGACACGAAAACACTATCTCAAAGAGATACGTGCACTCTCATGTTCATTGCAGCATTATTCACAATAGCTCAAGTATAGAAACAACTTAAACGTTTGTTTACAGATGAATGGATAAACAAGATGTGGTGTATATACACAATGGCATATTATTCAGCCTTAAAAAAGAATAAAACCCTGCCTTTGTGACAACAAGGATGAATCCAGAAGGCATTATGCTAAGTGAAATAAACCAGGCAGAGAAAAAGAACAACTGCATGGTATCACTTATATGGGGACTCTAAAAACAAAGCAAAAACAGTCGAATTCATAGAAACAAATTTTAAAATGATGGTTGCCAGGGGCTGGGGGTGGGGAAAATAGGGAGAGGCTGGTAAAAAGGTACAGACTTTCATTTATACAATGAATACGGTCTGAGGATATAATGTATAACATGATGACTAATTTCTAATACTGTATTGTGTAATTGAAATTTGCTGAGAGTAAAAAAGCGTTCTCATCAAAAAAAGGAAGAAAATACATGAGGTGATCGATGCGTTAATTAACTCAATAGTGGGAATCTTTTTGCAATGTATACATATATCAAATTATCATGTTGTATACTTTAAATATAGAAGTGCGTTTATTTTTTAAGATAAAATTAGAAGTAAAAACACTTGTTTTTGAATTTTACTTTGGTGCTTTTAATCATAGGAAACACCCAACATATACTCCTGCTATAAGGGAAAACCCAAGTCTCCTCCTTTCATGCCCATCTTTGTTTCTATACTACCATTTTTTTAAGATTGGATAAGGCAAGAGGATAATAATAGTGAAAAATTTCCCATAATTATAGAAGTAACGGGGTTTTCTGATCATGAAATACTTCTTAGCAACAGCTTCTTTTTCCTTCACACGTGTCCAAAACTCTCAAGCTCTAGTCTCCTCCTTATTTGCTAATTTCTATTAGACACTTTGGTAGTGCAGAGAAAACATCGATGTAGAGGGAGGAAGACCTAGACTTGTGTCCTGTCTCTAACTTTCTGCTTGGCCTTGGACACTGTTAACCTGCATGAACCTGTTTCTTCTACAACATGGGAGGAATAATTCTTGCCTTCTAGAGATTTCTGTGTGAAATACAAGAAAATATGTACTCAAATTCTTTGTGCAAAAGAGAAGTCTACATAAATTGAGTAATTAAATGTTTTTCATGCAAATTCTGATGAAGATATTCTTAATATATTGTTAGTAGCAGGCTTTTAAATATAACACTGTTTTGTAAATAAGTTTTATATTCTGTAGGAGTATAGATCCCCCAATATTTTTCATTTAAATGGTTCTATATAGTACTAACTGAAAAATTAAAAATGGCTGAAATCTAAAACTTTATGGTATGCAGGTTAGCTGAAGTGGCTTTTAGAGATAAAATCTACCTCTCTAAGCAGCCCCTTACTCATATATTTCTCTCTAGGTAGTGTCTAATACAGGGAGCAATTAGGTAAATAGACCAGGAAGGCACTTTTCCTGGACAACTATAACGTAGGAGAACACACTGCCAAGAGGAAACCTTGAGCTGAGTTCTCTAAAGAAAATCTCTAAAGAGCTGAGTTCGTGAGGTCCATCTGCTGGCTCATGACTGACAATCCCACATTGTTTCTTTCACGATGGGCACAAAATCTAATGGCAATGTTCCTCCTGTCAGAGCTGAAGTTGTTATTTAAGCTCATATATCAGACCACATGAGTCGTTCCACCATGCTATGCACTTATTGGAATTGAGCAGTTGGAACTGAACATCCCTAGGGTGTTTATTTAACCATAATCAAATGATCTGATCACTAATGGATGCCAATTTTTCATCTCCAAAATAAAAACAGGCAAGTAGGATGAGCTAGTGCCATTTCAGGTCACTATTAACTCCAAATTTTCTGATTCTATGCCAAATCAGGCTTCTGGTCATTAGTAAGCATTACACTTTATAATTTGCTATTTATGAGCCATCAAATGATTTTTCTAGTAAAAGGTTTATTTTTATAACTTTTCTAGTTTTTGTGCATTAATATTCTATGACTCACTTAGACTTCGGTAATCATCTAGACTATCTGTAACATTTGCAAGCATAATTTTATTTTTAAAATCTAGTGCTTTAAGACTTACAGAAATATTATCTTAAAAGAAATTTTCTAAACTGCTGTTGTCTCCTTTAGAGAAGTTTTGCTTTCCTAAAGTGTTGAGTTTTTTATCCTTAAACATTTCTTTCAGTGATCCTAACCAAAGTTGGAAACATTTCAGTAAGTTGCTATCATATAAAACGACCTTGTGAAGAGCCTTATAATATTCAAAAGTGCTTCATTCATTTAATAAAAGACAAGCAATTACTCAGCTTTCATTATCATATGGTAAGAACTCAATATTCCCATTGTTCATTACACAGAAGATATTTCAATAAAGTAAAATACATTAATTCTTGAGTATTAATACTTTCATACTTCTCAGAATTAAAAACTCATCTTACATATTTTTTTTTGATTTATTCATTCACTGAATAATTATGGAGGGCCTACTATGTATTGAGCTCCTGTGCCAGGTATTGAAGATAAAATTATTTCTTATCGTCACAGTCCTTATTTGCAAAGAATTTAGCGTCCAGTTGGAGTGGCATACACTCATTTTTAAAAATCATTCAAATGAAAGTAAAATTTAAAAATTAAGAGCTACCTGGGAATACAGTGTATGACAGAGTATATGGAGGGAGAGACTTATTTAATATGATTTATGATTCTGATGCTAATAATATAAAAACTTGGTATCAGAATCCTGTGCTCATGAGTGGATGGCCCCAACATCACCCAGTAAGTGACAGAACTTGGAAAATAATCAACTTTCATCAAATCATTTCCTATTTACTGAGGTGATTTTGTCTGGGAGGTCATGGCACAAGCTTCAGATAAGTTTCCGGCTGTAGTTCTGCCTCAAGTACACTTACAATCAACTTGCACACCTTTGGGCTTTAGCACCTCGTTAATTTTTTTAAAAGAGGAAGGATAGAGTATAATAATTCTTAAAATAATAGAGGGAAGTAATTATTATTGCTAACGTTCAGAGTTGCTTAATATTGGAACACACTTTGGTATTCTTCAATTGTTTGAAATACATTTCTCAGAGTCTATATGAAAACATGTTTCGTTTCCTTCTTCCTTTGCTATTTTGACCTGTAAAATGGCTTCATCATACTGTTCAGAAAATTGTTTTTAGCAAAATGATCACATTTCCCCAAAGCTACTGCCACCATTAAGTCTATACTACCCACTAGTAAATTTCTTCCTTGATCATTATGACAAAAGTAGAAATAACTTTACTCATGCCAAATGCTTCCATTATTTTATAAGATGAAACTGTCATTTGAGAAAATAAATATTATTTTTGTATTAGAAAGAGTACAGAAATTTCTTTCTTTAATTAAGTTTTCCAAAGCAAACTCTTCTTTTCCTATAATTCGTGTCTCTACCAGTGTTACAGGCTTCAATAAGAGATAGACATGAAAATTCAATTGGCAACTTCAAGACCCTAAATTTCTTACTTAGATTTTAATAGAATTTAAAGGCATATTCTAAGTTTTCTCTATTTTAATGTCCTCCAAAGAAATTGTAGAGGTAGATTTTTGTCAGTATATACTTGATAAACCTTAACAGGCTCTATTTCATATTTTTATTTATTTATTTTTTGTGCGGAAGATCAGCCCTGCGCTAACATCCATGCTAATCCTCCTCTTTTTGCTGAGGAAGACTGGCTCTGAGCTAACATCTATTGCCAATCCTCCGCCTTTTATTTCCCCAAAGCCCCAGTAGATAGCTGTATGTCATAGTTGCACATCCTTCTAGTTGCTGTATGTGGGACGCGGCCTCAGCATGGCCGGAGAAGCGATGTGTAGGTGCGCACCCGGGATCCGAACTCCGGCCACCAGTAGCGGAGCGCGCGCACTTAACCGCTAAGCCACGGGGCCGGCCCTATTTCATATTTTAAAGTCAGGAAAACTTAATTTTCTTGTGTATCTTAACTACCCATTATCCTATACTTTTAAAAGTTGTGTTCTTATGGTACATGTAGTTCATAAGTTTCGGAAATTTAATATCAATATATTATGCCACTTGCTTCTATTTGAAGATCAGAATAAAAAATTATCCTTATTTAGTTTGTTTAATAGGAAGGACTTATTGCAAATAGTATCAAATAAATGTGTTTGCTTTGTTCAGGTGTTGTTTGTAACAACTCATTTATTATAGTACCTAATAGATGTTAATAAACACTTGTGGAACAAATGAATGAATGAGTGAATAAATGAGTGACATCTGACCATATACTTTACTCCACATATCAACAAAGTATAACATTTGTCATCTCAGAGCATTTGCATCAAGCAGTTTACAAGTCCAGTCTACCAAAAAAAATACCCCAGGTTACAAAAATATTAGTATGAATCTGTTGTTAGGTGTTAAAAAGTATACATTCAGTGGAAAATAGGCTAACGAATACATACCATTATCAAAATATCTGACCGTTGAATTTCTGGATACACTGGGATCAAAATTTGCCATTAGAGGTGCTATGTACTGTGTGGCTGTTAGCATTCGATGTACAACTTCTCCAGTGTATATGAAACCTACAATTAGAAAAATAGGAAATATGTTAAGAAAAAGCCCAGGTAAAGTTTTAATTAAAATACCTTCAACTCAACTGCAGTCATATTTTGAAAATAAAATATGATAGTAACTGAAAAAAAAGGGAACATAATATCTTAATGTCTGATCAACAATGGTATGGTAACAAAATCTCGTGTGATTTGGTAACTGGTAAACCAGAAATCTATAACATGTATCATTTTGATTGTGGGAAAAGTGACTATTATCTGGAAGAGATTATTAGGCTGAAAAGGCTAATATAGTACTATAAGTAATTCAAACATTTAATTTGCCATTATTAATCCCTTGTTATTTCAACACTAGCAAAACCTGCAAGTCCTTTTTACAAGTGAATGCATTTTCTTGATGTTTAATCGCGTTTTCATAAGCTGCAATCTCAGTTTAGGATGGTTTAGAAACCACACCTGCCTATCTTTAATACTAAAATGCAGAAAATGTTTTGGGTCTTTTTTTCAAGAGTTGAAAGGAGTCTAAACACCCATGGAAAAACTTGCACATTTCTCAGATTGCTCAAATCTTTATAATCCTAGCACCCTACCAAGAGGATAATGATTATATGTTTGCAGATAAGATGGTAAAACACTGATAATGCACAGAGGCCTCTCTATTTAGAGAGTTGTCAGTGCCAGCCTATTCTAGCAGTTGGACAAGCGGGAATTTACTACAGAGAACTTTGTCTTGAATTAACTTTCAATAGCTCCTGTGTAACAACCCTACCCACTTTCAATTATTCACACTGGGTTTATTTACTTTGTGGATTATCCATGATAAATTGTTAATCCTATACTGGCTTCTTGCCTCCAAGGTCTTTAGCTGCCTGAAAGGAGAGTCAGCTCAGGGAATGCTAACTGATTTTAATGTTAGTCTAAGAAACGCACAATTAAGAAGGCATATGAAAATGAGGCCACGCTCGTGCGCGCACATACACAATATTACAAAATAAAATCCAAATCAAATTATTTACGACAATGCAATTGTAACGTTTAGCCAATCATAAGTTAACTAGATATCTGAGGCTATTATAGATCATTTTTCTTCTTTTTTTTTTTTTTTATGTGAGGAAGATCAGACCTGAGCTAACATCCGACGCCAATCCTCCTCTTTGGCTGAGGAAGATTGGCCCTGGGCTAACATCCCTGCCCATCTTCCTCTACTTTATATGGATCGCCGCCACAGCATGGCTTGACAAGCGGTGCGACGGTGCGCGCACCGTCCAAACCTGTGAACCCCGACAGGCAGAAGCGGAGTGCGCACACTTAACCACTATGCCACGGGGCTGCCCCTAGATCATTTTTCTATTTTTATAAGAATTAATAAAATAAAACAAGCAAGATTTGAAAAAGAAAATTGTGTAGAATTTAAATCTCTCCAAGTGTTCAAAGTTTTGTTGTTTCACTTCATGTCTGAATAGAGCTCTCATTGGCGTATTGTGCTCTTCATTGTTTCAAATTCTCAACTGTAATTTCTAGGTAAATTATTGGAGAATTAAATCTGTAGTTATTTACTTTGAAATTAACTTCCGTCTTTCTAGCCATGTCTTCTTTCCTTTGACTTCCTTTTCATTTTTCATCAAAGGCATAATAGAATTCTAGCTAGTCACCTTAAAAATGTATTTTTAACTAGTAGAATCTTTAGCAGGTATTTTAATCATCAATTACTTCTTGTTTCTCATTTGCTGAGCAATATCTTTCAAAATAAATGCCCTATGTCTTGAGCAGAACTTTGTACATTTGCAATTCCACATAGCTCAAGTGTACTAAAAAATATTATGATAGAGTGACGGTCATTGCTTTTATGTGATTTCCCTGTAGATTTTCAGAGTCACATTCTTAATGTTCGAAGCCCAAGATCACGTTGTAAAATTATAAAGATGAAGAGTAATTATTTTTCGGGGTCTATGGTTTATTTTTTTCTCCTATCCTCGCCAGCATGCCTTTATAATTTCAGCATTAAAACGGATACAAAAATTCTACAAATGTGATCTTTTAAGGAAAAGATTGAATTATATTCAAAATGTTCTTTAAGGGGACAGTAGCTTTGTGTAGTTATTTCTCTAATTCTATTTTCTCTATGTACTAATAGAAGACACTGCTTATTTGAAGAATAAAGAGGGCAGTAATTCAAGGCAGTAAGAGAATTTAAAAATCAATACAAAATTCATTCTCTAAAACAACTCTATAAGAAAAGCTGCAGCAAATCCTAGAAAAACAGAGTAACAAAATGTACAATCATAAACGATTTCAGATACTTAATTCTTACTGTTAGCATTTATTTATTTATTTATTTATTTATTTATTGTGAGGAGGATTGTTCCTGAGCTAACACCCGTGCCAATCTTCCTCCACTTTGTTTATGGGACACCATCACAGCATGGTTTGATCAGGGGTGTGCAGGACCATGCCCAGGATCTGAAACCAAGAACTCGGGGCTGCCGATGTGGAGTGCGTGAACTTAACCACTATGCCACTGGGCTGGCCCCATATTGTTAGTATCTAAAATAAATAATATATATATATATATTAGTCCTTGAATGTTCCTACATAGATTTGGCAAAAAAATAAATAAATAAATAAAGTTATTCTCTACTCTGTATACCAGTTTTCAGATCATGGGGATCATTAAAATGGCTGCTTCCTTTTATCAGGAAAAAGTTTTCCAGAATTACAATTTCTCAGATTTTGACGGTGAAACTTCAAATTGTTCCCAAAGAAGTAAATAAAAATTTGGAAGAATTTGTTAATATGTAAAAGCTGTAATTACAATTCTTGATTCTTCTATTTTTGTAACATTAAAATAAATTACAGTTACTGTTACTATGAGCACTACAGTTGCTGCAACTACCATTAACAAGAAACAGCTACTAACACGTCTGCCACTACTATTAACCTACCACCACTATTACTACCACCACCACCACCAATGTGAAAAACGATCCAAGGATGCAAAGATCCCACTACTCTGCAAAATGAGTTGAATTTTGCTAATTCAGAGAAGACTTGTTTCCCTTAGCCATATTGAAAGCAGAGTCCTATCAATATCTCAGGTTAGTTCTTAGTAACCAAGAAGTAAGTTGTGGACTGTAGCAATGGGCTCTACTTAGTTCTCCTTACATTCCTAGATTTTAAAAATATCATTTCAGCAGTGGTTAATAACTGAGTGGAGAGAAACCTTGCAGGCCTGCTGAGACCAGGGACGTGTAATTAGGTGTTGAATTGCAACCAGCTATGCAAATTAGAGTCTTTTATGCAACAAAACTTCTGCAAATTGCACAGGCACTCATAGCTACCAATATCCCACTTAGACATTTCCTTTTTTTCTTTAGCTGTCTTGAGCACGTCCAGTTGTAAAGGAAAAAATATTTCATTTTTCTGGTCTCTCACATTTTGAGGTAATTTAAGCAATATATTTCTATTGTTTTTTTCAGACTTGTTTGTAGTCATTTGAAGGGCTAATCAAAAAATGTCCCCTTTGCAGGCTGGCTCTGGTGGCCTAGTGGTTAAGTTCAGTGTATTTCGTTTTGGAGGCCTGGGTTCGGTTCCCGGGTGTGGACCTACACTGCTTGTCTGTCAGTGGCCATGGTGTGGTGGCGGCTCACATACAAAAAGAGGATGATTGGCAGCAGATGTTGGCTCAGAGAGAATCTTCCTCAGCAAAAATAAAATAAAATAAAATGTCCTCTTTGATCATTACATGCTTCTAGTTTAAATAGCACTTACCTGTCTAGTCATATCTGTAGAAAAGTGTTTTTTATCGAGATAATTTAGTACTCAGAAAGAGACCTCCATTTAAAATATCCAAGTAACGGAATCAAATACGTTTTGCTTTTTCAATTTCAAATAATAGCTAACACACTGCACTTCTCATCTACCTTAACCCAGGGTTAAGTTCTGAGCTCAGCTGTAATCAACGGCTTTGTTCTTGTACCTGGAAGGATCTCCTTGGGCTGCTTTCTGTAGGCGGTCTCCGGTCACTTGAAAAATCTAGTGTTAAATCTGTAAACCTCATCAAGTCATTTAGAGATTCTATCATTGTAAGTTTTGGCATGAATAAACCCCACTGAGTCATTATATATTTATTAACCACAAGTATGTATTTACCAACCACAAACACTACTGTGATAATTACTGAAATTAACCAATATCTATACAGGCCTTTACCAATCACATTCTTTTCAAGTATTCTCTTCATTGTATCATTACAATAACTTTGAAAAGAATGATGGTATTATTTTTATTATTTCCATTTATTAAATGAAGGATATAATAAGGCTGGGTAAACTGCCCAAAGCCATATGGCTAGAATCAGTGTTCTGATTCCAAATTTTATGTCTTCACAATACATTTTAGAATTCATTATGTGCACAGAACAAAATACTCTCTCTCAGAGGATTTCATACTTAAGGCGTTTGAGGAAGAAAAGAACTGTTTTCTCTGTGAAAATTCCAACATCTATACCTTAGAGCAAAGTTGTAGTCATCTCAAATCCTGTACTTTTATTGTATTGCTTTAGCTTCTGTTGTTTTAATTAGTAAATTCTCTAAATAAGTTTAAATTAGATTCCTCTATTGCAGCCCACCAAATGAGACTTAAATTGGTAGAGAATTTATTTAATGGTAGAATTAAATTATTTCCTAGCCGTGTGACTAAGTTACTTCACCTTGCTGCACCTCAGTTCCCTAATCTGTTAAATGGGGCAGTAATGGTATCAATATCATTGGGTTGTTGTAGTGGTTGAATAAATTGATACATGAAGAGGACTTCAAAATAGTGTTTAAAATAAAATTTGCGGAAAACAACCAATTGATTAAATTCCCTCTATTTTTTATTTCTGAAGTTTTTTTCTGTCTAATGTATACAAATTGATTAGACATACACCAGAATGTTTATACGACTTCAAAATTGTGTTTCAGACTCAAGTGGTAAGACAGGTGTTTCTTTGCATTATTCCAGTTTGCGTTGTA